CTCAACATTTTTTCTGTTGATGTAAGAAAAGACCGAAGTGCCAAAATCAAAAGACCTCTTTTTATTTTTTTTGCTTTTGTGCCACCAACCCCTAATGATTGTCGTTTTATCATGAGATGGGTCTGTGTACTGTTTCACAGCAAGCCCTAACTGCTTTTTCCAAGGAAAAAAATATACTTAGCATAAAAATGTCTGGTAATGGCTTGAATTAAAAAAAAAAATCTACTTAGTTTACAGTTTCATTCTGCTCTGCAAACTACTTCAGACAGGACAGAGGAGGGCAATGCTTTTTACACGAGCTGGCACGAGGGAGGCCCTATGAGACTTGAGAACTGAGAATCTTGTTTTCCTAATCCTGATGCTGTAACTTGGGCAAAATTAATTGCCCCAGAGAGCAGTGCCACCCTAGTGTAACACTGATTAGAGGTTGCCATTGCTTTTAACCTCATTTAGGAAAAGATACATCTCTCACTCTCAGCCATATCAGTCCAAACATGAACCTAAACCTTGGAGCCTGGGTTTGCTGGACTGCAGCATGGTGAGCAGAAATTTTAGGGTGCCGTGAAACTGCAGCTGAAGATCTCTGCTGTGCCAGCAGCCAAACAAAGGCTGATTCCCATGTTGCTGGGCTGAGGCATGCACCCATTGTCAGGCCTGGTGTAGCAGCAATCTGACGGCTCTTTGCCCTCACCAACATCCTCTTTTCTTAGGACCAACCCTGTGGTGTGGATGTGAGGGTCCTTGCTAATAGCACTGCCATGTGCTACTGTTCCAGTCCAGACTGTCTGATACAAAACCTCCATCCACATGAACTTTGGTCTCCCTCCAAGCAGTGGTAAAATCTTGTAGAAGTGGTTTGTTTGTTTCTTTCTCTGAAGATTTAGGTTTCTTGTGGAATTTTCTGTTTGTTTTTAAGGCTAAGTGAAGCCAAATGTATCTAAAATCACATGCTGAGCTGGGCTTCGGGGGTGCTGCTCCCTTTTGTCTCTAGCTGCAACCTTTATTTGGTGAACATCATTCCCCTTCACTTCCTTTGGCCTAAGTACCCATGTAGTCTATTGCTGACTCATTTCAGTTAGTACTGACCCATGGGTCAGATCAATAATTTAGCATGTAGGATTAACACAAGTTTATATAGTAACCAGGTAAAGACATTGTTAACTAAATCAGCTGCTTTACTGTAGCAGATTTACAGTAATATGAGAGTTAAATCAAAACCTGACATTTACCAAGACATCTCCCAAACTGCCAAGTAATGGGTACTTGTTTCACAGGTAAATAAACTGAGAGTCAAATGATCCAAGTGATTTGCCCTCTGACATAGAAGAGCTACGAGAAGTGGGGATTTAAACTAGGTATAGTAATCCTTCTCTCCATAAGGACTACTTAAATAGAGAACACTAGCAGAAATCAAGTTGAAATTACCTTGGTTTAGTGTTCAGTCATACCATACAGTTTGTATACAGCAGTGAAGAATAATTTTGGCAGGAAACAGGGGAGCAGGCAGATAACTCAGGCTTTGTACTAACCCCTCCAAATAGCAGCAACTGCTCTAACTTTCCCCTTTTAATGACTACTGCATCAGAAATACGGGCTCTGACTTGGGGAGAAGGCAGTAAAAGAAGGAAGAAGGTCAAGTATACAGCTTCTGCAACTGAACTTCAGTTAAGAGCAAGACCAAAGCTGCAAAGTGCACATTCTCTGGTGTGAGAAATGCAGAGCTTGAGAAAAATAGGTTAAAAGCTTCATTCTCTGGTGTGCACACTAAAGCTATGCAGAGCTTGAGAAAAATAGGTTAAAAGCTTTACTGAATGCAATCTGAAGCTAGGTTAATGAGTATTCTAGGCTCATAAAACTTAATAAAACAAAAACCAGGTATGTTATTAGATGAAGGGGTAGTAAATCTTTCCTTGTCCTGTAAGGGTCGGCTTTTGCGAAGAATGGGATATGATCAAGTTTTAGGACTTTTTAAAAAAGGAATTGCAAGCCTAAACAAATAGTAATTTATCGTTAAGACTGGTCAGAGGAAGCAGTGTGTGAAAGAAACTTGCCTGTGGGGAAAAACCTCCACCTAAAGATAAGAGCTATTTTAACATGTAAATGTTTGCAGATCTCTCATTTTGGTACAATGGAAATGCAGGGTATGGTTATTCTGAGCTCAAAACAATAGAGGAATTGCACACAGCTGGGTATACAAGGCCTTTCTGAAGGAGATTCTTTATCTTGCTTTCAATTAAGTTTTATTCTAAAACAGAAGCAGGAAAGACTTCTTAGCAAGCTTTATTTTCTGGAAATTGTAGAAGGTGAAGACTGCAATAGTAGCTTTCCATCAAGGCTCTGTCTCCCTGCATTGTAAAGAAAAAGGAGGGGATGTCAGTCCTCTTGAAGTGTACGTTACTCCACAGTGCTAGTGCCCCTATACAAGCTGAGAATAAGATAAAACAGTAGTGCTAACCCTCATCCTAAAAGAGAGGGATTCTAGCATCTGTCAGCTAAAGTTTCACAGATATAAGTGCATTTGAAGTACATTTTAAGTTCTAGAAAAGTCTTAATTTCTAAGTTGGTAGGCAGAAAACAGTAATTTAAGGGTAACCAGTATCACAAGCTTCATTCTATGGAAATTTATACTCGATAGAAATTGTGGAGACTATCACACAGTTAGTATCCTTCCTTTGTTTATCTCACGTGTGAGGGATATTATTTTTATTGGATCAGATCTACTAGTCAAAACTAGCAGGATGTCAAGTAAGCAAGTGTGTGGTAAGCATGTTAAAACTTGACCTAGTTAATGTCATTGTGTTTGATGCCACATTGCAAACTAAAAGTGGTAATTGTGGAATTTCCCTTTTTATTTTTATTTTTTTTAAGTTAAAATTCAAAGTGTGAGACCTGATACTTAAAAGGTACCTCTCTGTGCTTCCAGCTTGCACACTAGTTCACCCGTCTACTTAGCTTAAGGGTTAAAATTTTAGTACTTCCTGTGTGACCTCACTATACATGTAAAACAGACTTGGAACAAAAGTCTATCTCCTTAAGATAAATTAGAAATGCAGGATGAAATAATTACAGCTGTAACTCTGAAAACAAAGTACACATTACAGTGAATAAGATGTTTATGTAATGCTGTTAGTCACAAATATTTTGTGGTCTCTGCCTGCTGGTGGCTTGAATTACAAAATACTTGGTTATAGGTCTCCCTTACAGATGTGCTAGACATTTGTGCAGGGATCTGCACCTTCCCCCCAACTACTACATCAATTCCCCTGGTCAGTTTGCAATGCCGTGGGCATAGTAGTGAACCCAATGCATAGTGCATCCCTGGTGCAGCATTACTACCAAAAATCTCCATGGTGCTAGGCTTCAATTTCTTACATGCACCTGTTCTGAGATTTGCAAGAAGCAGGTTAAAAGGCACAGTTTGAGAATTAAAAGCTAAAATTATACTGCTGTAGCTTATAGAAAAGAGGGGGAAAAAAGAAAAATCTTATGCTGGACAGCCTACAGCAAAACCAAGAAGTGGACACAGCACACACTTCTATTTCTTAACAAATTTTCTTACCAGTTTTTTTAGGTAGCAGTTATTCTTAGAGCTGTTCAGAAAATTATTCAAGGGCACTATTTTTTCTTGAAAGTAGTAAAAATGAAATGACCTGTGTATCTCTCAAATATTTCAGTATTTCATTAACCTTTTAACTTACAGATTCAGGTTTTGGAAAATACTCTATCAACTGTGTTGGCTTTTGCAATTAGAGGTTGGCTTGAAATTCAAACTTGCACTGAATTATTAGGTAATGAATTTGTGAGTACAAATGGCATTTAAGTAGCAATATAAGTTGTTTAGGGATAACCTGTTCTTGATCAGTTTACCTGCATGAGGTAGTACTTACAAAAAAAGACACACTGTTCTCTAATCCAGTTCTAGTCTGCAGTTTTCCCAGCAGCTATGCTGTAGCAGCTGTGTAGCTATGCAGTGATCCCTTCACAGAGTCCTGAAACAGAGAAAAGGTGCTTAAGGGCAAACAGGACTAACAACCAAAAATTATGTAGTGCCAGTGAAATAAAGATGGAAATAAGACTGGCATCTTATAAATTTTGTTGCAACTCAGCCTTACAGCATATTTCCACATAAAAGCAAGTGCTGAATCATCACGCCAAGTGCGTTTAGACGATGGTAACACATCACTGCTGGGCTCTTAGATCTGTGCATTTGCAGTGACTTAACACAAATTAGCTTCAGAGATATGATGCCTTTTACCTTAAAAAAGTATTTCAACAATTCAGTCACAGCTGTTCTCACAACTCTGAAAGTTAAGGAGCTATGCTATACTAATTTCTTTCTCCTCTTCTCATCAGCTCTTTCCTGATGGTGTTTCTAAGTTCATCTGAAGAGTCTGTATCTCACATAAAAATCTTAAAAGGCTTCAGGGACTTTTCCCAGTGAGAAGATAAAAGCATGACTACCATTCAGGAAGTGAGTGGTAAGTTACAGTTATAATGAGATCTATGTCACGGTTGAGAGTATAAACTCACTTTGCATTCTCGTCAAACTGTGGAGTGAATATAAAATACTTGCTTCTCGGTAATATATCTGACTTACTGGCTTTAATTTTGTTAGATGGAGCTGAATCAGCTCTGTTTTCTTACTGAACTTCAGTTTGTATTCTAAGTACTATTGAAATAGTGTCTCATTAAAATTATCTGCCTCTCCGAGTATTTTTTCTAGAAAAATCAACTGATTTTCATTCATTACTTTCTAATTTTCAACAGAATATTTTTGGCTGAAGTACTTACCTTTTCACTGTCACTAAATAAAAATATCGTTATTAACCAGTAATTTTTTAAAGAAACCATTTAGTCTTTCATTGACATTCATATTTGATTTTATTTTAGGATTTTTCCTTCCATCTCCCTCACAAACTCAACAAATTCCTGAGAAAATCAGCCTGTTTTTTATGAAGTTGTTGATGCTGATATGAACAGAGTGGAGGGCAATTTTTTTAGCCCTGCAAAGCTACCTGATATTTGAAATGCTGAAGAGGAAATTACGGTTTTGCCACAACTCGCGCTTCAGGCTTTTCTTGGGTCTAACTCTTATTTTAGTAATAATTTCGGTTTTGAAAGTTAACCAGAAACAAGACTTCTTAAATCGGAGAGACCTAGAGCTGACGAAAGAAGATCCTATTGCCAATGTTAACTGCTCCAAGATTATAGAAGGGGATATAGAAGAAATTCAAAAGGTAAAGCTTGAGACATTGTCAGTGTCATTTAAGAAGCGACCCAGACTAACAACAAATGATTATATTAACATGACAGCAGACTGTGCCTCCTTCACCAAGACTAGGAAATACATTATGGAACCTCTCAGCAGTGAAGAAGCAGAATTTCCAATTGCTTACTCAATAGTGGTTTATCACAAAATTGAGATGCTTGATAGACTTCTAAGATCAATCTATGCCCCTCAGAATTTTTACTGCATTCATGTTGACAAAAAGTCTCCAGAATCTTTTTTTGCTGCTGTAAAGGGAATAGTGTCATGTTTTGATAATGTCTTTATTTCCAGCCAGTTAGAGAGTGTTGTATATGCTTCATGGAACAGGGTGCAGGCAGATATTAACTGCATGAAAGATCTCTACAGAAGAAGTTCAAACTGGAAATACCTAATAAACCTCTGCGGCATGGACTTTCCTATAAAGACCAACCAGGAAATAGTAGAGAAATTAAAAGCGCTTAAAGGTGAAAACAGCTTGGAAACTGAAAAAATGCCTGTTTATAAAGAAGTAAGGTGGAAAAAACACCATGAGATTATTGATGGTAAAATAAAGAACACAGGCATAGACAAACAACTACCACCTCTCAGTACTCCAATTTTTTCTGGTAGTGCCTATTTTGTAGTTAGCAGAAGATTTGTAGAACATGTGTTAGAAAGCAGCAAAATACTTAAGTTCATTGAGTGGGCAAAAGACACTTACAGTCCAGATGAGTACCTGTGGGCAACAATTCAGAGAATCCCTGATGTCCCAGGTGCCGTTTCTTCTAGTGACAAGTACGATGTTTCTGACATGAATGCACTGGCCAGGTTTGTCAAGTGGCAGTACTTTGAAGGTGATGTGTCCAAAGGTGCTCCCTACCCACCATGCAGTGGAGTTCATGTTCGCTCTGTCTGTGTTTTTGGGGTAGGAGACCTGAACTGGATGCTACGAAACCACCACTTCTTTGCTAATAAGTTTGACACTGATGTTGACCCTTTTGCAGTGAAATGCTTGGAAGAGTATTTGCGACACAAAGCTTTGTATCTGCAAAAGAACTGAAATATTGCATGCTCCTGTTATGAAACATAGGTACAAATAGTATACAGCTACGTACTTTTAACATGTAACATCAATGATAGGGATGCTGATGATGGGTATAATGGTTCTCACCATGTTGGTATGGTGATGATTATGCTCTCCCTGCCTTGTCCATGGACAAGGGGGAGAGAAGACATGAATCAAGTGGAGATGGGGATGCCTTGTGTTGTACACTGAGGTTTGGAACTTTGGGTACAAAATCAAAGACAGAAATTTTTGGAAGGCCAACAATTTGGAATATTTATTATATAAAAGGTGTAATTAATGGACTTCCTTTGGCTAAACTATTTCTTTTAAGGCTTGGAAAATGCATGTTGTTCACGGTTATTCCTCACTTTTGCCCAGTGAATGTAATGTTAGTTGGAAGGGAAAGATAAAGAAGGGGAAAAAAAGGTAAAAAAGCAGCTGGACTGCACAGACTGAATACTGAATACTGAAAGATCTCAGGAAAATAACATTAGAATTGATCTGAAAACTATACAAAAGGGAATGTACCAAAGCCAGCTGCCATCATTTAACTTAAATCTGATTGCTGTAGTTCTGTCGTATGTAATTCTTAATCCTCCTGAAAACTTCATCTTCAGTATGGAGTATTAAGGACTTTTGTTTAAATTTTTGTAGCCAAATCTTGCTTTTGTACTCTTAAAAACCCCTGATAATGTGATATAAATTTTATACACTAGTTTGTAATTACGTCTTCTCAGGGAAACTTAAATTTTGTGCCTGATGAGAATTAGACTCGTAATTTTACACTTCTTACTGTGTCTGGAGTCTTGCTTTTGGATCCAAAATTACTCAAGTTTCTCAAAAACTTAAAAGAACTGCAGTAGTATCTAAATGTCCATGATGGAATTACTGGTTTCTGCTTTCTCTTAAGCTGTACTTGCATTGCAGATTCTTTTAACATTGAATATGCAAAAATAAAGTTATTTTTCTAAATTGTATTGCCTCTTCCTACAGTTAATATCCTTCTAAAAGCACCACCAAAAAATCATAATGATGAAGACCTAAAATGTTTTTACTGTAGGTTGCTATACACAACTGAAGCTGCAGCTTACACAAGTCCTGGCTTTCATCCATGTATTCATTCATTAATGTGGCTATGTGTGTTTAGTTTTTTGCTGGTTGTGTTGGGTTTGTGTGTGAGTATGGGGGGCCATTTTTGGTAGTAGGGGAAGGGGCTACCCTGTGAGAAGCTTTGCAAAAGCTCCCTTGGCTCCAAGGCATATTCCCCTCAGCTGAGTCGAGAAATACCTCTGTGAATCCACATTTGTAAGGGGAAGGACTGTCTTGAAAAGAAGGTGGAGAGAACCTGGAGCAGAGGCCATTGACCTGAACAAAAGACAACCACCAGCCTAAACAGAGAGAGAGAGGTTCGTTGCCAGAAGGAGGAGGGGGATGACAGAGAACTTCAGACACCCAGTTCAGCTGCATGGAGTAGGAGAAGGTAAACGGGGTACCCTGCAGCCCATGGAAGTTCAATGGTGGAGCAGGTACCCGTGTGTAGACCATGGAGGACTCCACACTGGAGCAGAAAAGCTGGGCCCGAGGGCAGATGTGACTGAATTGAGACCCCAGAGATGCCCAATGCAAGAGCGGGATTGGACCCCCAGAGCTGGGGCGTGAGGAGGTGCACTAGACTGGGGTCCCATCTGCAGCCCATGGATGTCCCCATGCTGGAGTCAGGAGCTGAGCCTGAAGAGGTCTGTGACTCCATGGGAAGCTTGCTTTGGAACACTTTGTTCCTGGACTTTCATGCTGGGAAGAGCAGCAAAGCTGAACTGACTGAACCCCCTTTCCCTGACCCCTGTGCTGCTGTGGGGAGAAGGTAGAGAAATCAGGAGCAAAGTGATTTGAGCCTGGGAAGAGGGGAGGGGTGGGGGAAGGTGTTGTAAGGTGTGGTTGTTATGTCTCACTGCGCTACTCAGGTGATTGGTAACAAATTAAATGGATTCTTCCCCAGGTTGAGTCTGTTTTTCCCATGACCATAACTGGTGAGCGAGCCCTCCCTGTCCTCATCCTAATCCTGTGCCCCCTTTGTTGTGTGTCCCATCCCATCTCACTGGGTGGGGGGACTGACTGCAGGACCGCATGGTCCTACTGTGGGTCAAACCACCACACTGGTGCAGCTGATTTTTATTTATTTGCTTCTTTTGGCTGGAGGGAAAGGAGGAAATCTGGGTGAGTTTTGTTCTGGGTTAGGTGATGTGATTTCTTTCCATATCAATTCAGGTTTGTCATGCATAATTACTACCAGGTATCTCACCTCATGAGATGACAGTGGAATTCATTATAGGCACTAGCAAATGGCAAAACAGACTATATTTTTTGTTTCTTGAACTGTTTCTGTGATGGCAGTCTGTGTTTCTTACAAAGGTAGTTTGTTTTGAAGTTTCTCCTAAGGCGTGCCCCAATACTTAGACATTAACATAATAAAGTGCTTACTGTTGATCATGCAAACAGCTAGGGAGGCAAGCAATTTAATCTGAAATAGGGCCTGTTCTTGCTAACCCCCACCTTCAAAACCACCTGAAAGCTGTTTAGGGAGTCTTCAGAGACTTCAGAGCAGGTAATTAAAGCCTGTGAGCAGAGGCAGTGGAGGGAAATACCCTGTCTTCCCCACCCTTTGGCTTTTCTACAAGAATGCTCTTATAGGCAGTTGTCCTCTACCACCCTTGCACAAGCTACAACAAGGTACAACTTCACTGCACGCAGTACTGGGAAATTCCAGGAAGTCACATTATATTTTTAGCAGAAAGATAGTTTTTTGTTTTTAAGAATTTCCACATAAAGACAAGCTACATTAATAGCTTTTATGAGACCAGAACTGCTAGTTCAAATACACTGAAAAAACCAATAATGAAGTTCTCTGCACAGGATGGATTGCTGATTCAGTTGCTTGAAATCTGCTAGACAGCTGTAGCACCGACCCTTCTACCTACCTATTCCAACCTGCTTTGTAGTTACTCATTTGTCTAATACAATGAATGCCTGTCTGGATCTCTGTTTTTAATGATACTGCTACTGTACATAGTGAAGATGCTACTTGACTAGGTGCTCCAAATGTTACTGTTTGGATAGAGTCAAGCGAGATCCTGTGTACACTCACTGTATGTTGTGTTCTGCATAGAAGGAAAAACAGGAGAATGATGCTGTTTAGTGTATGTTCTCCATAACACAAGGAGGAAATTCTCTGGGGGAAAATGAATCAAAGAAACCCCACCTCCCTAAAAATGACCCTGATCTAGTAGATTTTAAATGGTCTAGAAAGGTAATTTAATGAAAAGAACTCTTAATCTGTTGAACAAAGGAAAATTGATAGCTTAATTAAGGATATTGCAACTACGCATATAGAAAAGACACCATAGCCAGCTATAATGGGTAAAGAAAGCTATCTTACACTAGTATTTCACTGGATCTGCCAAGAAACAGTCAAAATAGTCATCATCCTAGAACAGAGCAGCTTTGTGGCACCAACAAAACTCAAATAAAATCTAGATTATCTCCCTTACTGACATCAGCAGTTGTTTTTTTGTAACTTGTCTCAGTATTCTACTAGATGGTTAGAGGACTGGCGTAAAAGTGAACATGAAAGAAAAATGTATCACTGATACTGCAGCAACAAGCTATCTTCATGCTATGCTGAAGGTGCTGTGCTAATAGCTTAAAATTAAAAACTTAATTATTCAATCAACTCTTCAACCGTTAATTTTTAATACAGTGGTGTGCTAATACAAGAAAACTGCTGGTTTATTCTGAGCACCTTCAGGTTGCCTCTCAAGGAAGAAGGCAATACACAGACCTGCACCAGAATTGAACTTGGAAGCCAGACAGAGGATAGAGCAGTTAAAATTGAAGCAGTGATGGTGGGTTCAGCTATGGTGCTGCTAAGGGCACTCAGAGTACTTGCTTTTTCCAGTCCCTGCTGCATGCACCCGCTTACACCAGCCCTCATACTGTGACATTATCATCCTTTGGGCAGCTAGGAAGGAAGTTGGTTTGCATTCTGCCTACCCAATAACCTTCCACCTCCCCGCCCCTTCCCCTCTTTCTATTTTTTAAAGCTGGTTGTGTTTCTCAGTCCAGCTCACCAGTGCTGGGAAGGAATGAGTAGCTAGTTAAACCGTTGCTGAAGTAACACATACGCTATTCAAAATCCCCTAGCTTGTCTTTCAATTTTCCATAGCAGAATTTTGCAAAAGAGCTCAGTGCATCAGAGGCACTGCTCTAATTCAGTCCCCACTTACACAGAAGTATTTTGACTGGCCTCAATAATAATAACAATTTGCTCGGTTATTATCAGTAGATATTAATTGTGGTAACCAAGTATCCTGTATCACCAAGAGTCACCACGCTGAAAGCCTTTAGGTTCAAAGGCTGATTTGATCCCAGAACCCAAACTGCTGTGCTTTCATCTCCTTACATTTGGTTTGACAGGAAGCATGTGTTTGGGTCCTCTGCTGCTTCCTATCTAGCACAACAGAAAATGACAGGAAACCTTGAAGATGAGCACTGCGGTTATAATTAGGGTTGCAAGCCAGATCACCATAACTTGGTGCATTTTCAAGTGGCCTGACAATTAAAAATTGACCTGGGTTGTACCCTTAATGCATTAGAAGATAAAAATGAAAGAAGAGGCCATCTGCTCCAACATACTTGTACTGTGCTGCTAGGGACATAAACACTTCCTCCAGTTTCCATGCTATTGCTAGCTTTGAATGGGTGTGCCAATCATTAAAAATAGTAAATGTGATTTGATTTAGTTTAAGTTCTGTAGCAGTATTTCACTGTTTTAATTTATAGCTTCTTTTACTCTTCAAAATTTTAGTCGTGGATTTTTTTAGTCACTTATAGAATACATAAAAGAGCTAATATCATAGTGAGCTCATCTTCAGACAATTAAAACATGGGAAATTGTGTTATATAAAATATTCCAGTTAGCGGTACCATTCATCCTCAGC